ACACACACACACACACACACACACACACACACACACACACACACACATATATATATATCAAAGCAATTAGATGCAGCTCAACACCTACACAGTGTGTCTTTCAGTTTGGTAAGGAATAATGTAGAGCTGTAATGAAAACATGGAGCATGTAAGATTGATTTGTAAAGTCATTGTTTCCGGAATGATAACGTGAGTTTGTGGGGTGACAAGCTTCTCTAGTGTTATGAAGAATGGCTTGATTTGAGACTGTATGAATTGTTTTTATTGCATTATGAATGTGAAATTAACTGCTCGTTAGTTAGAAGAACTATGTGAAGAGTTTTGAAAAAGTGACCCAAGTATTGAGCATTTCTTTACTTTGAGGTCAATGTGCTGCACTTTATCTAATCAGAGTGCTTTAAACCAAACATCTCTTCTAATTGATAATTAGTGTCCTCAGTGCAACTTTCCATCAGTTAGTCTTTTGTCAAACTGACATGATCCTGCAGGAAGTGACATCACTGGGTGTGGCCCCTCAGCGCAGCGAGTATCTGTGGATGTGATGAAGGCTGAGGCTAGTTTGTCTGAGTTCGTGATGTTTGTTCATATGTGGCCCTTCAGATGCACTCAGCAGCTGATGTTTAATTCAGTTCCTCGCCCGTCTGAAATCATGTTTACAGTCAGACAGAAGAGACTCGTTTGCTGCTGAATGGAGAGTTAAATCATGATGTGATAAACAGCTCATTAGGAGCCCGGAGCCCCTCCTCGACTTCAGCCTCTATTATTATTCTGTTCATCTGTGTCATGCTGAGATAGAGAAAGCTCACGTGTTTGTTGAAACGCGTCTCCGGTGGCTCCGCACGCCTGTAATTGGACTAATTGGAAATGTTCTTGAACAGAACTAGAGCTGCACTTTTCTGATTACATTAAAGAAAAGACGAAAAACGGCAGATGATTTGGTTGAAGAAATATTGATATTGATAAAAATAATAGACAGTTTTTAACATATCATTAGTGGTGGGAATGTGTTTTCAGTTATGTTCTGCTGGACATAAATCTCAATTGGTTTATTAAAACGAACTGTAGGAACAAACCAATCGACTAAAATGAATCAACAGTGAAAATGTGGATTGCTTCATTTGAACTGGAAGGAAAAATAAGATGCACATTATGTTGAATCTGTGAAATAAATTGGCATCATTCATGTTTATTCTCAGTGCATTAATATCTCAACACATTGAAGGTGAAATGTGAGGTTAATAGAGAGAAATCCATCTGCTGCCGCATTTGATGACAACAACAACTCGGCATGGAAACACACACACACGCACACACACACACACATGGAAATCATTAGGAAATCTTCAGTTGTTTACTGTAGCGATTCCACCTTTCCCAGTGTGTGTGTGTGTGTGTGTGTATGTGTGTGTGTGTGTGTGTGTGTGTGTGTCTGGGGATCTGTGGAAACACAACGGTATAATTGGGTGCACGTGGGAGACACTGAGATCCAGCTAGTCAATACAATGAGAGGAACTCCATAAATAAACTAGTGCAGTCAGCAGTAAACACACACACGGTTACAGTTGAGCAAACTTTACCACGGTAATTTACCACAGTATATGTCTGATGCATGGATGCAGATCAGTAGAATATAGAGCAAACAGATAGATTTAATGAACAGAATAGATAGATAGATGATAGATAGATAGGTAGGTAGGTGGGTAGGTAGGTAGGTAGGTAGATAGATAGATCGATAGATAGATAGATAGATAGATAGATAGATGATAGATAGATGTGTGTTTGTGTCGTTGTGCAGTGGTCAGTGCTGATCCAGGATCAGTTGTTCAGCGGTCACTGCGTCCACAGAGAGCAGCTCTTCACCTCAGTTACTCCATCATACAGTGAAGGAAACCGATCGATCTGATTCACTCGATCGTGTTTTCTGAAACACTTGTGTCTGTGTTGTTTTCATGTAAGCGTTTCCCGAAAGCAATAAAGCATTGGATGCTGCTGAACGTTGATGTGAACTGGTAGAACCGGAGTCTAATAACTCTTCCAGCGCGTTAATGCAGAGCGTTCGTGTTTCTCACAACCAAAAAGTAACAGGGACCAAACCTTTCCAGCTGCGAGCTTCATGAAACAAAAGTAAAAACGCAATCGTGCCGTTGTTTCGCGCACACACGGGCTCCGCGTGAGTCTCTATTGTGCGCGCAGATGGCACAGTCCGGCCTCGGGGAATCCGGTTCCGGGCGGAGTCTGTGCCGGGTTTTCGCCCCGCCCTCTTCAGATCAATGCATTCCCGTCGCCAAACTCATCGCGCACAGTGAGCGAGCGGCGCGGCGCGTCAGTCAGTCAGAGGAACCGCCGCGTGTGTCTGTCCGCGTCAGGACCGGGATCGAGGATGGAGACTCGCGCTGTTTAACGGCTCGGTAACGCTCGCGCTGATCTTTTCCATTCACGGGAGCGGAGGATCCTCAATTGTGCGGATTGATTGATTGATTAATAGCTGATTTTGCGGCGATCCTGACGATCATGGGCTGCGTCACTGGAGATATTCACCCGGGCAGACTTTACGCACTCCTCATCGGGCTGCATGTTCTCACCTGTGTCTCCAACACGCACGGTGAGTCCGTTTTACGCTCTTTACACCGGTTTACTGCTGCTCAAGCTCAGAGGGCTGGCTTTACGCACTTCATGGATGAGCAAGTTGGATTTTCCTCGCAGGAATCTGGTTGATTGCGAGCGCGCTGCGGAACGCGTGATCAGGGCTGGTTTACTGGTTACTGGTTGATGACTGCTGGTTTTAAGCATTAATAAGTCATATTTTCAGTGTCTCGTTGTGTAAATGTGAATGTGCTGCTGTTTGAATGGGTTTGATTCCATGCTTCTGCTGCTGGATGGAGAGACTCGAACACACGCACACAGTAGTGACTCTATCGGAGCATCTTGTTGCGTTTCTGTCATCGCTTTAGTGTTTCATAAAGTTTAGTTTCATGACGTCAGACGACTTTATTAATTATGTTTATAGCGGTAAACTCGTGATTATGATGGGATGCTGTGCGTGTGACTGACTGTCAGCAGGTGCGACTGATGCGGTTATTGATCCGTGCCGCGCGTCCTGATCGATGCGTCACTGCAGGACGCGTTAGTGTAGGATTGTCTTTATTGTATGTTTCTCGTATATTGTGCTGTAAAGCTGCATGAGGTGTGAAGCAGAGCAGAGGGAATGTTCTGGATGTGCTCTGGAGGTTCAGCACGAACCCCTGCGCCACCATCCTCTCCATTGAGCTGCTGTATTTACTGGTGACGCCAGCAGAGGAGCAGTGTTTCACCGCGGTCCTCCACAGCCTTGCATCAGGAGCTCTCGCTGTGTTCTAGCATTCATGTGAAGATTTGTGTCTGTGTAGTAAACCAGATCGAGGGTGGACTCATATTTATTCATTCAACATTTATCAGACGCGTTTCTTCGCAGCGCTTCATCATCAGGTGGCAGCAAGTTCCAGATTGTTCTGAGCAATGCTCGAAATAGAATAGAGATGAAAAAGCGTGCTTTGCTTGAAACTTGATCACAAATCATTAATGAATCTCATGATGTCTGTGGTTTCATGAACCTTTAACATCCATGGAAATAGAAATGTTCTATCACTCTTTAAACATTTCTAAAAGTGTTTTTTTTTCTTTCAAAGTGATGCTAAAGAACAATTTCTGGTTCCCTAAAGAACCTTCCTGCGATCAGTTTCCACTTTCCTTTATTTGAAGAACATTTTAATGACCTCTTTTCGCTGTAAAGACTCTTTTGTGCAATGGAAAAATTCCATGGATGTTAAAGGTGCATCGATGCCAATAAAGAACTTTTATTTTTAAGAGTGGAAAAGATTCATTTTAAGAACTGATCACCGAAAGGTTCTTTCAGGAACCAAAAATTTCTTCTGTTCTTCTGTGGCATCACTGCAAAAACCCACTTTTGAAACCTTTATTTTTAAGAGTCTAGTTCCTTCAGATAATCACCATCTGTTTCACCATCATGGAAAAACATGCAAATATAGGATCATTTCAAAATTTCCAGGTCTGGAAAAATGTACATTTCTATATTTATGCCGATCTAGAAATCGCTTGGAATGTGATTTATAAAACACAAATGACTGGAAAAGCCACGGAAATGAGTTTTTCTAAATAATAGACTGATTCTGTTGTAATCGATTCATGTTTTAATTCTAGTTCATTTGAATTCATGTAGAGTTGGATGGCTCATAAAGCTGGTGTTTGTCTTTATTGGTGTCCAGTTTTTTGGATAAGCAGATTCATTCAGTTTGACAGCATGTGACATGTCTGTATGTTTCTGCGTTCTCGTACGCAGCATTAGTTTGTTTGTTCTGCTGTGATCTCTAATCGTTGTATTCACATAGAAAATCCTCATGCTTTCCTCTTCATAGGACGCTATACATATGCGTCACACATGAAGTAAACCGCTTAATGCCACCCAGTTCATCTCACAGCGGACTGGAGAGTATCTCGCAGCTGCTGTTGTGTTTTTACACTGATTGTTAATTTTCTCCAAACATCTCAATTGGAAACAGATGTGTCTGTGTCTCCGTCAGGCACTCAGGAGACTCGCAGGTGCTGGAAGTGAAGTTCACCATATGGATCTGAATGAATGTCGCACCGCAAACGGGTCGCATGTCTCGCACTATAAATTGAATCAAACTCCTCTGGAAGAGAAATCCTCCTGAAAATCTTAATGAACCATCAGGTGTTCCCCAAATCATGTGTCTTGTTTGTGTAGAATGGGAGATTTCCAAAGTTTCCAGCTGAGAAATATGTTTGTTTTTTAAACCTTATTTTTAAAAAATCCCTTAGAATCATGTTATTTGCATTGTATCTCTCGCTAGGTTGTTTTATGGTGAGATGATCGTTACTGGTGTTTGCTGAATTAAAATAAAGGTTCTTCAGTGGCATCGATGGTTCCTTCAACCTTCAACATCCATCAATCTTTCCATTGGAGAAATGGTTCTTTATGGAAAACGGTTCTAAGAAAAATGGTTATTGTAAGAATCACTGAAAGGTTCTTTGAGGAACCAAAAATGGTTCTTCTTTGGCATCGCTGCGAAATCTTCTCAGAACGTTCTGGCAAAGTTCTCTCAACATTATGAACAAACATTCTTCCAGTAGTGTTAATCGAATACTTGTTTAGTTATCTGGTCTTTAATAATGTTCTCAAAATATTAGCAAACAATATTGTTTATACTTTGTTCATGGAATGTTTTTTGAATCATTTTAGTTGGATGTTCTTCTTACTTTTTTGAACGTTAATACAAGTTTCAGATGGTTTAAACATCATTCCAAAGTAACGTTCCCATAATGTTGGCAAAATGATACAATTAAATGTTCCAATTAAAATGTTTCCAAAAATGGTCATTTTGAACATTTTAGAGAACATTCAGAAATAGCATTTTAACGAACATTATAGAACTGTTCTTGGAGCATATGTTTGTCAGCAGTTTGAGAGCCAGTCATGAGTGGTTCCTCGAATCATGTGTGTTGTCGATTAAGTGATCCGAGTATTGACTTGTAATGTTCTAGTAACCAATGCACGAAGGCTTCTGATGATCACGCGGGTGAGTTTGAAGCTCCAGATGTGTGTTCATCGATGATGCAGGAGGAATCAGATCTGCGTTCAGACGCGCCGCTCATCTAGAAACTCATCAGCTGGTGTCTGCATGCCCTCGCTTCTTCAGCTCAATCTCTTTTACTCTCTTTGTATCCAATTCCACGCTTTTGTTCGCGGATCGATCTGTGTTCAGGTATTACATGCAGCTGATCTACTTCTGAAGTCTCGACCCGATAGTTTGTGATTTTTCTCCTCAATCAGGAATCACAAACACATGGCTCGTTATTTCAGTGCTAATTCCAGCAGTGGATATCTGCAGTGCTGTGGGCGTCTCTGTGTGCGTTTGGCAGGCGCTGATGTCGGTGATGGTGTGTGAATGACTCTGTTAGGTTGTTTATGTTCAGATGTGCTTCTCATGTTCGAACGGTTTGCGTTTCACCACTTACAGCTTCCCGCAGTGAGAAACTCAAATGCATGGCTCATGAAACGGGACTCAAACACACGGGATAATGTGCCAGGAGTGGATCACTGTTAGGATTCTCAAGAGAGATGTGTGTTTACTACAGTAACACCTCCAAACACCCTCAATTACATCAAGATACACATGCATTTGGTTATTTCAATCTGTTTTCATAGAAAAATAGACTGCATGTATATTCATTGCTTAATGTGGAACAACAATAACAAGTTAAAGGTGACCTATTATGCCCCTTTTTACAAGACGTAAAATAAGTCTCTGATGTCCCTAGAGTGTGTATGTGAAGGTTTATCTCAAAATACCCCACAGATAATTTTTTATAGCTTGTTGGAATTGCCACTTTTAGGGATGAGCCAAAACGCAAACGTTTTTGTGTTTGTCCCTTTAAATGCAAATGAGCAGGTGCTCCCGCCCCCCTTTTTAGAAGAGGGCGGAGCTTCAAGAGCTCATGCTCCGGCATACAGGCAACAACAAAACAGGACAATATCACGCAATCTGAGTGTACTGTGCAGTAAATGCGCATTTATGAATTACACAGACGGGGAGCACGGCGCGATAAAAATAACGACATAGCTGGACTCATGGTGCCTTGGCGTGCTATCACATTATGAGCTCGACAAATTCAAGCGCTCGACTTCACATTGCTTCCATATGCAATTTTTTAACTACCACATTCCTATTTCGATCATTCTGGTAGAATGTGAATTCAGCATCAGTGAAAACTGGCAGAGACAATGGTAGCTTTAGCAACATCAGCCTTACAGAAAGCTAAGAAGCTCTTTTGGAAAACAAAATATGACGCGTGATTCTTGCTTTGTCTGGAGCTGACGTTCGCGCACGAAGCGTTGGTATCGATCCCTCTTTCAGAATCAATCTTTGCACATCTCCAGTGCTGAACTGACCCTCGTTTGTGAGGCAGTCCGGCGTAAAATGATTAGCACAAACAGATAGGACTTTTCTTTTTTTTTCCAGGTCATTTCCTTCGAAAATGAAATTTAACCACCGTGTCCTCAGCGGTCTATAGAGACTAACCCTAACGACACTTGTAATGCCTCTTTGGCGCTGACATTATATCTCTCCAGCAGCTACAGCAAGAAAACAGTAATGGCGGACTGCTGCTTCTCACTCAGGGCGGGGTCTATGCTAATAGGTCAGAGATCGTCACAAATGTATGACATGTATATAGGGAGAAATCTGGAACTGCTCGTTTGGAGAGATTATAAAAAAATGAGTGGGTGGATTTTTACCATTATAGGCTGGTTGTTTTCTGTGTTCAAACACCTTGTAAAAGTGATTTTTGCATAATAGGTTACCTTTAATATTGAGTAAAATATTGACAATTTTTGCTTTGCCAACGGAAATAGTATCAGCGAATCATTGCAACAGTGGTGATTTGTTCCTGCATGATTTAGTTTTTTTTAACAAATCAATTGAATCAGTGACTCAATGACTCACTCATACAGACGGTCGCTTGTTTTGTTCCTGAATGATTCAGTGTTTTTGAATGAGGTGATTGAGTCAATGATTCAATGACTCT